AGAGTTAGGCAGAGAGAGCCGGGGATTGGGAGCCTTTATCCCCTTATGTAACCGTAGATATCCTTGAAAATTCATCGAGGGGACTGAGCCTAAAGTAGAAGGGCAGAGCGTTGAGGAGAGCCGGTTAGCTGAAAACCCAACCAAAAAAAAATAAATTGAACAAAACTGGGGAAGAAAATCGGGGTGACGGGTATCGAGTGACGGCCCTCAGTCTGCCCGGTGTGCAGGAAGCCGTGATCAGACATCGTTTGGGTTTATAATATTCTTAGAAATCCATTTTTATACTTGCCTGCTCTTTAAAGGTTTGGTGGTTTGGCTTTTTTTCCCCCCCAAGAGGAGTAAGTGCACACAAGCATCCCTCCAAAACATGGAAAGCGGAGGGAGGCAGCCTCTTTCGCAGGGCGAAAGGGGAGGTAGGATAAAGGGTTGCTGCTTCTGAACAGGGCACTTAAAGGCTTATTTGTAAAGGTACTCAGGAACGCAATCACTCCGAGATAAAATATCTAACCCTAGTCCTGAAGAAAAAGCATCTCGCTTTCGAAGAGCTTAAAATAATGGATTGGAAATTCAGAATGCAAATTTTTTTTTAAATAAAACTTCACAGTCGCTGTGCTTACTATTACCTTCCAATGTCTAGTATTTCCCCTGTTCAGTGCCTTTCTAATACAGCTTTATCCATCCCAAGTTTGAAGCTTGTGAAGAGAGGGGAAGGAAAAAAAAAAAAAAAAAAAGCCCTGCAAAATGGTGGATTATTTTGTACATGTTTATTCTGATTTGCAAATGGCTGCTGGCACTCACAGACAGGACGATTGTGAAAATTTCCCTAAGGGCCTCGATTGCTGCATCTGCTGAGATGACGCAACTGGAGAGCGAGCCTGCAGGGTGAAGGATGGTGCAGAGGGAGGGGCCAGGCAGCGCAGCCTTTGCTCTTCCTACAGTCGCAGCCTTATTTATTCGCTCCAGCGGGCTCGTAGCGACGGGCTGGAACTCCGCACGCGTCCGAGAAATGGCTTTCGTAGCTTCAAAAGGATGACGTTCTTGAGGAGTGAGCTTTCCCTGAGCAATCTGAGCTCCGAAGAAACCAGAAAGGCTCCTTGTGGGTTGTTTTTTTCAAATGTTCAGGGCTGGTCTAGGAGGTAAAACTGGAGATTTTGCTTCTGAGCAAGGATTTGAGGCGGTGGCATCTGTGAGGCTGTTTTGTGTGATTTTTTTTTTTTTTTTCCCCCTGACCTTGAGCCAAGAGTGCTGATGCAAAATCTTAAGGTAATTAGGGCTGTGTGTCACGAGGAGAGGGGAAAAAATAAAATCCCTCGCTCGCTAGGCCAGTGTACTTGGGATAACTTTGGAGAACAATGTGGGGAGAAAGTGAGATCTTGCATATATGATGATAAAACGGTTCTTCTCTTGAGATCAGGTCATGCATACCACTGCCTTGCTCTAGAAATACACCTGGCTCGCTTCGAGCCGAGAGTATTTTCGGCTCCAAGTTAGTCTTGCCCTCAAAATACTGCAGCAGGAGCTTTCTGACCCTTGCGGATCCGGGCGTGAGGCAACATTCCTGTCCCTGGTCTGGAGGTTCCTTTGTCTTGCCACATACTTCAGCTGCAGTGGGAGGAGTTCCTCTGGCCTAGGTTTTGGGGTTTTGTTAAAAATCTTGCAGCCTGATGGCTGTTAAAAGCTGGAATTCGCCGGGCTTGGTGTAACGCTGCCTCTCTAACTGTGACCCCTTTCTTAGTTCCAGGGTTCCCTTCAATTGCTGTAGTAACCTGGGTCCGGGGCCTCGGTGGTGCTCCTGATGTCCCTCACCCACCCCTGAAGATCCCAGGTGGGCGAGGGAATAGTCAGAGGGATCACAATCTTTCAGCTAATTTATTTTATTCGGTGAGTATGGATAATACTAAGCAGCTTGCTCTGGTGAGCGGGAACACGTTTCTCGCCTCGGAGCCTATTAACGGGAGTTATCCCTTCTCCAAAGTGAGCTGAAAATAACTTTGCACAACTTACTGCTACAGGATAATCGGCTGAATGTAACAGAAGAACTAACATCTAACAACAGGACAAGAATTCTGAATGTCCAGTCAAGGCTTACAGATGCCAAACACATTAGTTGGAGAGCAGTGCTGAACAACAACAACCTCTATATAGAAATTCCCAGTGGTGCTCTGCCGGAAGGGAGCAAGGACAGGTGGGTACAGCAAAAATGCGGCTGCGGTGCAACTTGCCTCTGTCTCGAAGGCCTCTCAGCAGGGTGGAATAGCTCTTCGCTGTTGCTGATACCCGTTGTGTTGAGAAGCGAAGCTTAATGATGGTGCTTGATGCTATCTTGAAGAGGCTGCGACCGGTTTGAGGGCGGCTGCTGCCTGGTTTGTGAGACAGAAGCGCCCGGAAGGGTGGTGAGGTCAGGCTGTGTTCCTGGGCGCTGGTGGCTACTTCTGAAAACACCAACCCGGCCCCGAGTGTGTCCCTGCAGTTCTCCCTGCAGCTCCAGCAGACAAGTGTGGTTTTTGTTTCACTGGAAACACATATTCCTGCCTCAAGCTCAGCCTGGGGCTCAGGGATCTGCCCTTGGTGTGAATCTCCAGCCACTGGCCTCTTGTGCCTGTGAGCTGACGTGCAGTTGGGCTTCCAGGGCTTTGCTTACTGCCTCTGCAGGAATTCTCTTGTTTGCTCGTGTGCCCTGATCGCCTCGTGTTTGTCTTGCAGTTTTGCAGTTCTTCTGGAGTTTGCTGAAGAACAGCTTCGAGTTGATCACGTGTTCATTTGTTTCCACAAGAACAGAGATGACAGAGGTAGGTGTTAACTGGGCATCGCCTCTAGAGATGCGAGTGAAGTATTTGCAGCTGGTTTTGGTGTGGCTGCTTTAACTCTTGTACAGTATCAAGTGGATAAACCTTTTTCCTGTTTTTTTTTCTTTTTCCCAGCTGCATTGCTCCGTACTTTCAGCTTTTTGGGCTTTGAGATTGTGAGACCAGGGCATCCCCTTGTCCCCAAGAGACCAGATGCTTGCTTCATGGCCTACACGTTTGAGAGAGACTCATCAGAAGAAGAATAGATTGCAATGTTTGCCTCTTAGAGCTTTCTTGTTGTCTATAAAGATGATTCTGTAGAAATTTTGTCAACATCTATTACAGTATATAAATATAACTCTGTATGAAATGTTGTGACCAACTGCTCTGGTGGTGAGATGTTGAAAATTTCAGACTCCACATCTTTTTCTGGATTTGTGCGCATGTTGTGGTTGTGCAAATAAATGCTCCCTCCAAATTAGCAGTATATTTCTTGAAGTTTAATATTGTGTTTGTGATACTGAAGTATTTGCTTTAATTCTAAATAAAAATTTATATTTTACTTTTTATCGCTGGTTTAAGCTGTTTAAGACTTGCACTTGGTGGGGAACTGCCCCGACCATTAAAGCTGCAGGTACGGAAAGGCGTTTCTTGTTCTTTGCTTGACTGGGCTATACTCTTACCGGGAAATAATCCAGCACTTCTGTAAAAGCCTGCTTTTAGTCAGATAATTAGGAGTCTGCCTGTTTCCACTGGTAATTAGGATCGCTGCATCCCAGCTCTGTCACTGTTTCATGAGATACTTCAGGACATT